ATCTATACACATATGTATAAATATGTATAAATACATATATTGTTTATACACATATGTATAAATATGTACAAGTACATACATTATTTATAATATACGTATAAATAATACGTAATACGTAAATAATATTATGTACGTAAAATAAATGAAATTACATTAAATTGAAAAGCGTAATTGACGTCGCACAACTGAACTTTCCATTTTCAATTTTCAATTTATATACATTTAATTCATTTATTTATGTTTCGTCCAACTGAGTACACCGAAATATCCAATACAAAATACATAAATAAGAACATGAAATCTCTTATTCATTTCCCATAAAAATTCACAGCAGCATGATATTTATTTCAATTGAACCATGCATATCAAAAGATCACAATTATTGCAAAATTATCGCCGAATTGTGCTAGTAGGTATGTCAGAAAATTCTCTCTACGAAGATCGCGGTGAAGAATACAAATCTGTACGAGATGTTTTGATCCAGCTCCATCGACCCCGTTTTTTCCCGCTTTCTACAAGGTGAACATTACGTCGCCGAGCCTAATCGCTGTTGTGGTCCGCGGCGTCGCTTTCCAAACATCTCGCCGAAGTGTCGCGAATTCCGACGAAAATCGTGTAAGAAGCGAAGGAAACATCTAACCTAATTTCCATACACCGAGCACGCGTTTCAATAGCAGCGTGTGCCTCCTGGCAATCGTTACATTCACAAACGCGTTTACGTTTTACAACGGGCAGAGTGGTTCGCCGAATGGTCGCTCGCGCGGAAACAATTTCACCGGCTTGGTTAATTAAGTCCCTCGTTCCATTAGCCTTCGGACAAAAGTTACCGAGCTCCTCGAAACAAATTGAACGCGGTAACAATTCGATAGTTGATCGCAGTTTAGTGCCGGCTATAATCGAATTCGCTCGAACTGTATTCGAAGCGTTTTAATGAACGAGACCTTGCCGGATAAGTGTTAAATTATCTGTGGACAATATCTGTGGAAAAGTGGTGAAAAATGGCGTCCGGCCGAAGAGCTAGTGGTGCAGTGAAGTTTCTTTACAGGAGATTATTAACTGAAGGTAAAACCACGAAGAATGAGGGACAAGGACCTCTTGCAATCAGAGGTAAAATGAACCGCGAAATTTAATTAGGAACAATAAAACGCGCTTAGATCTGTCGAGTCGTGCGCGACGTCTTCGTGATTAGATTATTTAGAGCTGCAGACCGAAAGGTCTCTAGGGTGCAGAGAACGCGAGGAGGACCCCATAGATTAATCTTGAGGGTTCCTTCTATCCTGCGAGGAGCTAATGAAAGTGCGAGAATCCCAGAGAGCAGGGTTGGGCGTAATTTGATTCGGTGAGGGGTAGAAGATAAAGACTAACTAATGTAATTTTATTGGAATAAGAATTCGTTCGAACAAGAATCTATTCGTGAAGGAATTCATGCGGAAAATAATTGATTTGATTAAAAATGGACTTTCGGCCGATAACTGCAAAAAATCTACAGATTTTCACACCTCTCGATGCCTGTAACCTTGACTGTACGTCGACTGATTTCAATGAAATTCGCAGCTTGCGTGCGTACAACTTATCGAGATTTAGAAATCAAATTCAATTCGTATAAGACATTATTATAATAATATTTTATTCGAATGAGAATTCTCATTCCAATAAAATTTTGTTCAATTAAAAATTTATTCGGATAAGAGGCCATTCTAATAAAATTTTGTTCAATTAAGAATTTACTCGGATAAGAGAGTCCATTCTAATAAAATTTTATTCAATTGAGAATTTATTCGGATAAGAGTCCATTCCAATATTTTATTCAAATAAGAATTTATTCGGATAAGAATTCATTTCATTAAAATTTTATTCTCTCAATTAAGAGAGAGTCCATTCTAATAAAATTTTATTCAATTGAGAATTTATTTGGATAAGAGTCCATTCCAATATTTTATTCAAATAAGAATTTATTCGGATAAGAATTCATTTCATTAAAATTTTATTCTCTCAATTAAGAGAGAGTCCATTCTAATAAAATTTTATTCAATTGAGAATTTATTTGGATAAGAGTCCATTCCAATATTTTATTCAAATAAGAATTTATTCGGATAAGAATTCATTTCATTAAAATTTTATTCTCTCAATTAAGAGAGAGTCCATTCTAATAAAATTTTATTCAATTGAGAATTTATTTGGATAAGAGTCCATTCCAATATTTTATTCAAATAAGAATTTATTCGGATAAGAATTCATTTCATTAAAATTTTATTCTCTCAATTAAGAGAGAGTCCATTCTAATAAAATTTTATTCAATTGAGAATTTATTTGGATAAGAGTCCATTCCAATATTTTATTCAAATAAGAATTTATTCGGATAAGAATTCATTTCATTAAAATTTTATTCTCTCAATTAAGAGAGAGTCCATTCTAATAAAATTTTATTCAATTGAGAATTTATTTGGATAAGAGTCCATTCCAATATTTTATTCAAATAAGAATTTATTCGGATAAGAATTCATTTCATTAAAATTTTATTCTCTCAATTAAGAGAGAGTCCATTCTAATAAAATTTTATTCAATTGAGAATTTATTTGGATAAGAGTCCATTCCAATATTTTATTCAAATAAGAATTTATTCGGATAAGAATTCATTTCATTAAAATTTTATTCTCTCAATTAAGAGAGAGTCCATTCTAATAAAATTTTATTCAATTGAGAATTTATTTGGATAAGAGTCCATTCCAATATTTTATTCAAATAAGAATTTATTCGGATAAGAATTCATTTCATTAAAATTTTATTCTCTCAATTAAGAGAGAGTCCATTCTAATAAAATTTTATTCAATTGAGAATTTATTTGGATAAGAGTCCATTCCAATATTTTATTCAAATAAGAATTTATTCGGATAAGAATTCATTTCATTAAAATTTTATTCTCTCAATTAAGAGAGAGTCCATTCTAATAAAATTTTATTCAATTGAGAATTTATTTGGATAAGAGTCCATTCCAATATTTTATTCAAATAAGAATTTATTCGGATAAGAATTCATTTCATTAAAATTTTATTCTCTCAATTAAGAGAGAGTCCATTCTAATAAAATTTTATTCAATTGAGAATTTATTTGGATAAGAGTCCATTCCAATATTTTATTCAAATAAGAATTTATTCGGATAAGAATTCATTTCATTAAAATTTTATTCTCTCAATTAAGAGAGAGTCCATTCTAATAAAATTTTATTCAATTGAGAATTTATTTGGATAAGAGTCCATTCCAATATTTTATTCAAATAAGAATTTATTCGGATAAGAATTCATTTCATTAAAATTTTATTCTCTCAATTAAGAGAGAGTCCATTCTAATAAAATTTTATTCAATTGAGAATTTATTTGGATAAGAGTCCATTCCAATATTTTATTCAAATAAGAATTTATTCGGATAAGAATTCATTTCATTAAAATTTTATTCTCTCAATTAAGAGAGAGTCCATTCTAATAAAATTTTATTCAATTGAGAATTTATTTGGATAAGAGTCCATTCCAATATTTTATTCAAATAAGAATTTATTCGGATAAGAATTCATTTCATTAAAATTTTATTCTCTCAATTAAGAGAGAGTCCATTCTAATAAAATTTTATTCAATTGAGAATTTATTTGGATAAGAGTCCATTCCAATATTTTATTCAAATAAGAATTTATTCGGATAAGAATTCATTTCATTAAAATTTTATTCTCTNTTTTGTTCAATTCAGAATTTATTCGGATAAGAGGGCATTTCAATAAAATTTCATTAAAATAAGAATTTATTCGAATAAGAATTCATTCTAATAAAATTGTATTCAAATAAGAATTTATTCGAACAAGAATTCATTCCAATAAAATTCTGTTCCTATAAAATTTTATTCGAACAAAAATTCATTCCAATCAAATTCTGTCCCTATAAAATTTTATTCGAATAAGAATTCATTGCAATAAAATTTTATTCAAAATAAGAATTTATTCGTGCAGGAATTCACATGAAAAATAATAGAATATAAAGCGTTTCTTCGTAGTTTATCGATTTATTTCTTCCATTATGCATTTCTCGAATTATTCGAGTAAAACATTATTCGAATAAATGAATATGATAATCGATGACAAAGATGAATTGTTCGGCTAAAATATTCGTCTAAAAGGAATTCATTCGGCCAATTATCTCGCGTAAAAATAAATTCCAAACTATCCGAGTAACGTCCAGCTCTGTCAGAGAAAAATCACAGTAACCGAAGGAAAATTGCTCGAGAAAGATTGACAAAGACTGACGAGCGGACTATTTAGAAGAGAAAAAAAAAGAGGTAGGCTCTTAGGTACATATTGAGAATGCAAGGTATGTCGAAAGGATCGAATTGTCGAATCGCGACGCTTGAAAGAAGTCCCCGGCGACGAGAAAAGAGCCGCGAGTTTACGTCCGAGCGACTTAATGGCGGTCGTTAACGCGAGTTACCAGGAAAGTGTGAACCAATGATAATTGATTACCGACACGGAGACCTCAGCGGTGATCCCGAGATCGCAGACGCCGCTGACGTCAATCTCGCGGATCTTTTTTTTCTCTCTTTTTCTCCGTCTCCGTTCTCTCGTCCTGCTGACCTTCATCCGGCCGAGATTCGGATTGCTTACACCTAATTACGCGGGCGATTGTGTAACGACTTCGAAGACAGGAAGCGGCGACTAATGACTCACTAAATAGACGAGAACGTTCAACACAATTAATCCTCGCGCGATATTTTTATCGCGAGCAAATTGCGCGCGGATTACGCAAGCCGGCGGTGCACGTTGCGGCCGTCGATGGACAAAAAATTGAAAACAGTCGCTGCCTCGTATCTAATCGAAACCGTGTCTACGATGCGTTAAAATGTTTAAACAATCGTATTTGGCGACGGGACGTTCAACAAATTCAGCAGGAGATCAATTCCGAGCGAGTTCTCCGAGCGAACATTAGCTGCAGCGCAGCTTGTTTACATTGTTTCACGAACAAAAGACCACCTTACGATGCGATCTTTGTAGAAAATGATGGCCAGTTATTACACGATTGCAATTAAACCGTGGATTAATCGATTGGCTTGGAAGTTATGCTTCTTGTCCCGGGCGCTGATACAAACGACGCGATGCGCGGCATTAGAAGCGTCTCGAACGCGTGCAACAACGTATTGCCAAGCGGTTCTCGAAAGGATTTAGGGTAATTGCATTCCCGGAGATTGACCAAGCGCATTGCGAAAGGCTATTGTAGTTGTCGCGGCAGATCCCCCGATAACGGGCCAATCCACTTTCGAAGAATTAACGGCGGCGGGCGGGCAACAGAACTAATTCGAGAATGTTCCTCGCGGTTATTGAGACGTCGGGTCTTATCGGCGCGCCAGGATCGGCGGAGTATACCGAACGAGTGATGGAGCAACAGTTGACCCCGTTCTATGCTTCGAGATTATCACTGCTTAACCGTGACGTTCGGTGCATGCTGATTACACCGCGGTTTAGAGCAACGCGGGGTGCCGGTTCTAATTAGACTGCGGATTTTAGGCGTTTATGGCAGAAACGAGTACTTAGGTGGAATACCAATCTGCGAGGACTTTAACACGAGATTTACGGATCTTGTCGAAAGGACGAGTCGCTTGTTTTTTTAATTTAGTGATTATTAGGCCGTGGATTTTTGCATTTATAGCGAGGATATATAGTTGAAGTATAAAATTGTGAAGACTGAATTCTGGAGAATTTTATTCAATTAACAATATTAGCAATATAAATGAGCAATATTAGCAATATAAATTAGCAATATTAGCAACACAAATTAGAAATATTGGCAATATAAATTAACAATATTATTTATTGCTACGCTGTGTTTTTGATGTATCAATATTATTAAAAGGAACACAATTGATTTTAATTCAATTTACTAAATTTACTTCATTTAATTCTACCGATTATTACGCTGCCCGATTATTCAGATTATATAGATACATTTATTAGTTATTTAATCAATATTTTATTTCAATATTTTATGTATTACTTGTGGGAAATACTGCAACAACACTCGTTCAAAATCAGAATAAATGTTTTATTGTTACTTTTACGAACTGACAGAAACCAG